AGAGAAGACAGACATTACACTGGAGTGTCCAGAGCCTCTGTTGTTTGCTTAGAATGGAGATGGGCGGGAAGCAGAGTGTGGTAACATCCTGAGAGGAGGGACTCAGGAAATTCCTGGAGTTGTAAAAGCTGCATAAATACTTTATCAGGTTATGAAAGGTTCAGGAACAGAAGAGGCTGAGCTGCATGATATTACATACTCAAGGAGACATTTATTTACTTGTTTATAGCTAGAAATACTTGGTCTTCATCTCTGGGGTGATGCTGCTGGTACTGGGTAGACACCAAGGATGCTGTTGAATCCCCTAAAGTGCCACAACAGCTCTAGCGGTCACTAGTGCAACAGAGAAGTCCAGGGTTAGGGTTATTGTAGGTCACTCTGAATGGCCTGAAACAAATTGCCCCACTGGTGGGCCCTGCTGATGCCAAGACTCTTAAAAAATTTGAACCCTTTGAGGGTCATGGGACCAACTGGCTTATCAACCTTGTTTTAGGCTACGAAAGGAATCAGAGGGCAGAGGGGACAAAAGGGACCAGCCACAAAGCTCTTCCAGAAGTTAAACAAGAGACAGGGATTCTTGTTTAACTTCAGGGTGATAGTATTCATAGGAACAGCAAGAGGAGAGGGTTCATGGAGCACCGTGAGGGTGAGGAGGTGAGGACCTCAGTGAGGAGGAAAAGCCAAGACTCTGCCTTTGTCTGTGACTGGAAGGATGTTGAATTTGTAAGTGCCCGTGGAGCAGGCTAGGGGATATGTCCCAGCAGCCATCAGCTCTCTGTGTGTGAACATCTGTCAGAGCCTTCTGTAGCCTGGGTCATCTAAACATACGGGGGCTGCAGAGCAAGTCAGAGTCCTCCTCATCTCTGTTCTCTGATGGCAATTAAGGAAAGAAGCTAGAAAGCGAGAGGAGTCATTAAAGTTGAATGGCAGATAGAAGGGCATCCTAGGGCTCCCTAACACCCTCCTCCCACTCCCCCACCCCTGCTGCCTGGGCAGGCTTTCAAAGGAGGAGATGATGAGCTATGGAAACACCCCATGAGGAGTCCTGCAGCATCAGAGCCTCCTTGCCAGTATGCCTGCGACAGCTTCTAAACAACTGCCAGCTCGAATTAACCTCTCTCTCTGCTGCGTCGCGCCTCAGTAGGTAACCAGGTGAAGGATACTGGATGCAGAGCCAGCCAGAAGGGGCCGTGATTTTTCTCTCCTGACCAAATCTCTTTCCCTGGATTATGATTCTCTTGTAAATATTTTCTTTTATTTTAAAATTGCATTTATTTATTTGTCTATTTTGTCAACCTCCATCTTCACCAGAAGCCTTGAAGTTAGACTTGGCGTGGAGAATCATGGGAACATTCAGTGCTGCAGCGGAGGGGTGGGAGTTGGTTTTCCGGGGCCTGATGCTGAGAATAAATGTCAAGCAGGGGCCCTCTGAGACCAGAGCGCAGGGTAATTATCACCCCTCCACAACTAGATTGCAAGAGTCAGTACACAATTGATTTTTTTCCCTACTCCAGATATTTCATTGTTTAATTGGTAGTGACACAGATGGCTGACTCTCACCAGGGTGTCTCAGACCCAGTCTCCTGCAAGCTAGTCCTCAGGACTGTCTGTCTTTCACAGTCTCAGGTGGCAGCCAGCACAAGTCTTAATGTTCTTGCTTGCTTTTTCAGTTATGAAAAAAGTAAAAGTGGGTATCCAAGGCAGCCCTGGGTGACATGAAATGACTCTGAGGTGGACACTGGGGACAATTTAGGAATGAGAGAGGGCAGTGGACCGTGGTCTCAGCACTGGCATGAGAAGGTAGTGGTTAGTCATGGCAGGGATGTGGAGGTCAACCGTTCTCTCTGTCCACCTTTACGTGGGTTCTGGGGTTCAAACTCAGGTCATCAAGATTGTATCCACTCTCTGTAGGACCATGTACCTCCTCCGCAAACGCCACCCTGCCTTTCCCATACATACATACACTGGACTGTGTCAGCCCCGCTGGAGGACTTGGGCATCTGTTTGGTTTGATTGATTGGCCTCGTATGCAAAAGAACTGACATATTCCATAGTTCACAGTACACTACTATCATCAGTCCACCAAAGGCCTTCTCCCATTTCCCTTCCTCACTTCTTCCGCATCCCTCTCTCCTGTGCTCAGTGTAAGTCCTTGGACATGTTTTAATCAATAGTTCTTTCAAGAACTGTCTGGAAAGATGGCTCAGCTGTTAAGAGTGCCTGCTGTTATTGCAGAAGACTTGAGTTCTGTTCCCAGCACTCACATCAGGCAATTCACAAGCAAAGAAGTCTTAGAAAAGAGCTCATTCATTGCTTCAGTCAGCTATGGAGCACCCTACCCTATGCCTCTTTCCTTACCTTGCCTCCCAGAGAAAGACATTGAAATTGTTGCCAATTCTTCGATTCCCATGGGGAGCTGCAGAGCATGTCTGTTTCCCTCTTCCTTTATAGACCTGAGCGGAGATCTAAGAGGTTGCCTGGGTGCTTGGCCTGGTGTGGTTCTACTGTCTCATAACACACACTTGAGTTTAGACAGTTCTCCCACCACACCTAGCTCATGTTGTGCTATTCCTTAGAGCTCCACCATATCTGTAATTCTATTCATTCTGCATTCTGTTTGTATCTCTTCTTTCTGTTAGTCTCCCTAGATATTGGTCTGACCTTAGTCCTTTCTAAGAATAGGCTTTTTGATTTGGTGTTTCTAGGATATCATGCAGCAGTGAAATGTGGTCTTAGGTCAGACGTCCTTGCTTCTTGCTTTGTTGTATACTAGCTGCATGACCTTGGGCTCAGTCTTAGCTCCTGTGTGTTTACTTTCCTCAAGTGTGGAATGGGAATGATAGTCCTTCCCAATAGAGTGGTTGTGAAGAATCAGAAAAGTTCCCCAAAGTGCATGAGCACTCAGGAAGTATTTTAGGACGTGTTCTCCCTCATCCTCAGCCTGCATTAGTCAGGGTTTTCCAGAGAAACAGAATCAGCACTCTGTGTGTGTGTGTGTGTGTGTGTGTGTGTCTGTCTGTCTGTCTGTCTGTCTGTCTTTCTGTCTGTCTGTGTATGCGTGTGACTATGCTGACAATGCTTATCCTGCCTGGTTTCTTGCCTCCACCTTCCAAGTGCTAGTATTACAGACATGCACCACCACACCTGGCTACAGAGGTGACTTTTTAGACAAAAGTCTGAAGCCTCAGGGTAACCAAGGAGGCTAGAGAGCTAGGGGAGAGTTGTAGTACGAGTTCAGAGGCATGAGGCTTGCAGATTTTTTTCCTGTTCAGGAGAAGTCAGTCTTGTCTATGAAGGCCTTGGACTGATTGGAGAACACACACACACACACACACACACACACACACACACACACACTAGAAGATAGTCTGCCTATTTGAAGCCCAAAATATACCTTCATAGAAACATCCAGAATGGTATTACACTAAATATCTGGACTCTGTGGCCCAGCCAGGTTAATGTAAAATTAAGGACCATGGTGCTTTGTAGTGTCTCTGCTGAAGCTGTGCCTTTTGTCAGAAACTTTCACATTGTGGGTTCCTCACAACAAGGAAGGCACATTCTCTCAGCTCAGCTGGGGTGCTCCTTGCCAGGAGCCCAGCCAAGTTCCCTACTTAGTCCTCACCCTGTCCTTCCCTAGGACATCCTAGTCACTGTAATGCTTCTCTTCTTCTTGCCTGGTCTAAGTAGTGTTGCCTATCTCTCTCCCTGCATATCACATGTCACTTGTGTAACTCGTAAGGCCTTTATCTGTTCACCTTGTACCTTAGTTACTTTGTATAAGTGGCTTATCATCCTCGTGGCAATTGTAACTTATCTGTCTTTAGATCCTCACTGTGCCTATGGGGGCCCAGTCATCATCCTGTGGATGTTGATGATTGGCAAATGAAAGAGCTAGGGAGAGCAATAAGTGATATTGTAGAAAGTGGGGGAATAGGGAGACTCAGAGCCTGGACTCGTGGTAAAACATAGTGTGATGATGTTGACGTGCATGACAGAGTTGTAGGTGATAGAAGGCCAGCATCGCTCCAAATGTTAACGTGTGCATTGAGTCATCAACACACTGAGGTAGGGATTAGCTTCATTTTCCTGCCAGAGTTAGCCTGGCTGAAGAGTCAGTATTTAAAACTACTGTTGATTGAGGACTGACTATGTACTAGGGTGTGTAGCATCTCTCGTCCCTTATCTCCAGTTCTAACGGCAAATGTATGAAGTACAGGGAATCTCCACTTTGCAGATAAGGAAGCAGGCTTACTGAGGTCTAGTGTCTTGCCCAAGATCGTATAAGTAGAAATGGCGGGTCTACAGTGTTAGGAGCCCACAAGAAAAACCTTAGGACTGGGACAGGGGATGGTTTGTGTACAAAAATGGAAGCAGCTCAAATTAGAAAACTAGGTCTTCCCTAGGGCAAAAAAATGCCTCTGCTTCTAAGGGGACCAAGCAAGGCTGCTTTTTGTATGCGAGGGTTCCTGAGCACTGTTCTTAATTTGATGATGAACGGTTAGGGCTGGGAGGAATGCTGAACATCAGAGGTCAGAGGTCAGGGGTACCCGGCCAACTCTGCCAGCGTCGGGACTGGAGATGTACAGCAGATGAGAGATAGAGTGCCCAGGCCTGCTGTTCACGCAGATCTGTGGCTGATGGACCCCTTGCATCTCTGCCATAGCATCTCCTCACATCTGCTTTTTCTCTGGAGCAGCAGGGGCCGCTCTTTCCAGCCTCTCAGTCCTCTTCTGATAGGGCTTTTCGGAAATTTCCATGATAAGGCTGGGGTTTATCCAGAATGAAATACATGCAGCAGAACCTGCACCCCCAGGCCCTTCACCTGAATTCAGTATGGTCTAAGTGTGGGTAGAATTTTGAAGAATCTAGGAGTGATGGCAGGTAGGGGTTTTGACTCTTGGCCATCAGTTGTCCCAAAGCAAAGTGGTCCTCTCTGGGCAGGTATGTCTCAGAACATGTGTCAGTCATAACGTCTCAGTAGCACCTTCTCCCTCCAGGTCATTGCTGTGGTCATGGATCTCTTCACTGATGGAGATATATTCCAAGACATTGTGGATGCTGCCTCTAAGCGCCGGGTCCCTGTATACATCATCCTGGATGAGGGTGGAGTGAAATTCTTTTTGGAGATGTGTCAGGGCCTAGAGCTTGCAGACTTCCGCATTCGGGTGAGTTCACCACTGGTACAGGTTGTGGGCCTTCCTCCTGCCTCCTCCCAAGCTCAGGGGCTCAGACTGAAGTTCAGAATCCCAATATTTTTCCTTTTATGTGAAGCCAAGACTCAGGAACTTATAACTGCCTACTTATATATCCTAAATGTTGTCCTAGAGCTGCTGAGGCAGTAGGAGGCAGCGGTGACCCAGCCCTGGGGTGGTCAGTCTGTAGAACCACTGACTTCACTGTCAGGATCAACACAAGGCTGTAGCTAGCTCTCTGGTGGGGAGCTTTAAGCAAGAACTTTCTTGTTCAAAGTAAAACAAGTAAAGGTAGAGCAAGCACAGAATTTTGGAAAGACTCGGGCAGCAGTAACGATCTATGGACCTTTCCCAAAGCTAGGCCTTGTTACAGAGCCTCACAGTCTCCCCAAACAGGGCAATATGTCTTTCTTCTCTTCTCAACAGAACATCCGTGTCCGCTCTGTGACAGGAGTTGGGTTCTACATGCCCATGGGGAAGATCAAGGGGACTCTCTCATCAAAGTTCCTGATGGTTGATGGGGACAAAGTAGCCACCGGATCTTACAGGTATGTTGGGCCAGGTCAGGGGAGGGCCCAGGGGACCTGTATTCATGGTAATTGTTCAGGAATGAGCTAGCCTGGAGCTTCCATGGTATGTGTTTTCAGAGGCATTGTCTGTGTTCTGATCGCAAATAGCCTCCTGCCCAGTTCCTTTCCTCAGAATTTCTGTTGACTGATTAGTTATTCCAGATAGAAGATCAACTCTTCCTAGGCATTAAGCATTGCCAGCTTGTCATGGTCCTCTGGCAGCCAGTTATACTTTGAGGCTGGTTTTTGAGTGGAATAAGCAGGAAGTAGAAGGGACAAGAACTAGGAAAGAGATGTAAGATATTGTCTTAGTTACTTTTCTATTCCTGTGACCAAACATCGTGACCAAGGTGACGTAAAAGAAAGCTTTAGTTTGAGGGGTCATGGATCCAGAGGGTTAGAGTTCATGATCATGGCAGGGAGCATGGCAATAGACAAGCCAGCATGGTGCTGGAGCTTGCATCTTATCCACACACACGTGGCAAAGGGGGCTAACAGGGAATGACATGGGTTTTTGAGACTTGAAAGTCCATCCACAGTGGTGGCACACCTCCTACAAGAACCCACAGTCCTAATCCTTCCCAGACAGTTCTACCAACTGGGGACTAAGCATTCAAACGGATGAGGCTATGGGGACTGTCTTCATTCCCACTGCTACAGATGTGGCACAGAGAGATGACTCCAGAATTTGAATAGAAAAGCAAAAAGGTACCAGGTGCATAAGAACCTGTATCTGAGTCATGTCTTTCCTCTGAAAAAGTGAAAATCAAGGTGAGTTTTGAGCATACTGTAGCAATGAGTAAATGACCTGAATCCTCTTCTGCAGTTAAAGTATGAGTTTCGCAGGCAGTGTGCACTCTGGGAAGGATACGCAGACTAGCAATGGTGCGGTTTAGTTCCTATGCATATGTCTGCATCAGGTGTTTAGCTGGCTATTTCATTTGCGCCTCAAAGTCTTGAGTTAAGAACTTGCTATCTCCCTGTGGCATGTTCTACCTTAGGTCCTATAAGCCGCATTGTACCGAACAGGGTAGATGTGGATCCAGGTCTGACTTCTCAAGCCCCATGGCAAGGAAAGGAAAGGAGAATCTGGCCTGGTGAAAGGAGAGTAGACCAGTGTGAGGCACCTTTCTCCAGACATCAGGCAGTGTGCCTGCCCATAAGGCAGGCTGAGGCCGGGCAGTGGGGGTGTTGAAGGAGATACTAGTAGGACACTGGAGAGGTCTGGGCCTAGCCAAGTCTGCTTTTCTATCCCCAGCTTTACCTGGAGCTCCTCCTACGTGGACAGGAATCTCCTCTTGCTCCTGACTGGACAGAACGTGGAGCCCTTTGACATAGAGTTCCGGGAGCTGTATGCCATCTCTGAGGAGGTGAACTTGTACAAGCACCTGGGCCTGGCAGGCAGGATTGGCCTCACCTACTCCTCCACTGTAGCTCGAAAGCTTATCAACCCCAAGTATGCGTTAGTGGCAGGCACCCGCTGTCCTCCAGGAGAGATGATGCGCTGGGCGGCCCGGCAGCAGCGGGAAGCTGGTGGCAACCCAGAGGGGCAGGAGGAGGACAGTGGCGGTGGTGAGTCTGCCCGGCGTCTGGAGAGCTTTCTCAATGACCTGGTTACAGTAGAGCAGGTATTGCCCACAGTGGAGCCGATCCCCCCAAGATTGCTGAGACCTAAAGATGGCAGGACGGTCTCTCACGCACACACAGACCTGAGGCACAAATCCCGAGAGGCACACCCACAGAATGGCAAGGGAGAAGCTGTCAATGGAGAAGCCACCCCTGCCAAGGAGGGCAAACGCTTCAGCAGCAGGCTCTTCAGCCGGCGAGTGAAGAGGCCTGCAACGCCCAGCAACATGGCCAGCTCCCCCTCCACTGAGACTTTTGCTGATGTGGAGTTTCCTCTGGGAAAGAGGCACAATGAGGGTTCCAGTGCCAACATATCAGGTGAGCTCCTGGCCGCACACATGGCCTCCGAGCTACAGGGTACGGTTTCCTGGCAGGAAGCAGGAAGGTGCTCCTGGGTCAGAAGAAACTCCATTCCTGGTCTGTCTCTGATCATTGAACCTGGTGACCCTGGGCAGGTCACTGTAGGTCACAGTTTCAGACTCCTGGTCTCAGGGGAAAGGGTGATGTGTGGCTTGCTTAGCGTTGAGCACAGCAGTGGGCATGGGTTGGCCTTCGAGGACTCTTAACCCTCCATGGTTTCAGATCACCTTCCTAGGAACTCAGAAAAAAAAAGGAAGTGTGACAAGTTTTTCTGTTATAAACAAACAGAGTCTAAGGCTCTTTCTGGCCACCCTGTTCCTTGCTGTCATCAGGATCTGGCCAAAACAGACATACCCCACCTTTACCTGGTCCCACTGATACCCTGACCCAGCTTTCCAGTGTCTGTGGTAATATTTAGAACTGGTTTTCCCCATGTCAGTTTGGAAAGTAGATTTGCCCTTTGGGAGAGATTGGTGATGTGGTGATAGCTTTTCTAACCATTTCTCTGGGATCTCCTTGAAACCCTGTCTTTTTTCTCTTTCTCCGGAACAGTCTCCGTTATGATCTTTCAGGGTTCTGGTGGTGACATCAGACAGAGCAGGTCTGGGGTCTCCTCCCCCACCGAAGTGTCTGAGCAGTGAGGCAGGCCAGGTTATGCACAGGCACTTTCGAGATGCACTGAGTCGAGATGCAGGTGGAAACTGGGGGAAGCACAGTCAGTGCAGGACGTGGAAATGACTATAAGCCTGATTCAAAGCCAGGCCTGGACCTCTTCCTGTCAAGGAGTGGTTGGTCTCTCATTCCCATTCCCCTTGGGCTTCCCTGGCTCCCCAGCACCAGATGCTGATGTGCTGTGCCTCTTATTTGGAAGGAGGGTTGCCATGGTGAACACCTGGCAAGAAAGAGGAGAGGGAGCCCAACCACAAAGGGGCTGTTTCCCAACTCCTGACTGGAAGTGAGGTGGAAGCTTTCTCTTCCCTTACCCCTCACTCTGAGGTGCTGTTTCCATAGAAACACAAAGCCCATTGTCTTGTCCCTTCTAGCTGCCTCTGGTGTCAGATTCCCCTGCTTAGATGACTTGGGCAGTTAGTGTTTGCCACTGCTGCCTGTCTCTGAGCGTTTGTACATGGTGCTGTGGAGCCAACAAGCAGGACCTCATTCTGCACCCTTGGGAGCGCTGGCTCCAGAGCACCCAGCCCCTTGAGTAGAAAGGCTGGGTAAGAGTGGCTGACACACATAGAAAAGTCTGAAATGTGTCCAGCTTCAGCCTTGGGAAGAACATAGAGGTGGCACCCACCCTCACTACACATACCCTGCTACCTTCATCAAGGCCCTGAAATCCCAGCTCTCTACTAAGACCTCTGGCCCCTGCTTCATCCTTGCTCTAAGCAGAGTTGAGAAGCAGCTTCTCCTCCCAAAGGCCCTTCCTACACCTTCTCTGCCCTCCAAGCCCTAGGCTGAGGGGCCTCTGGTTCCTTCCTTTAAGGTGGCAGCCGCTGAGCAGCTGACTACACACCTCATAACACAGCATGGGTCCCAGTCCTCAGAGAGCTGGAGCTTGAGTTGGATTGGAACCACTTCAGCTTCCTCTTCAGAGAAGGAATCCATCCAGGGAAGGAATCCCCTTCCCACAGGGAGCATTCACGCTGCGACAGACAGTGGTGGCGTGATCGCTGCCCTCCCCTCTTCCAGACTGTCTCCTCTTCTAGAGGAGGAGGGGTAAGCTGGGGAGGGCTTCTGAGGTCCCTTTAGTTGATGCTGACTGTCCTATCTGTCTCTGCACCCTCTTGTCAGAGAGAACGTGGGTGGATGACAGGGTGGGCGAAAGAGAGAAAGATAGGAAAAGCCGAGAGCTGACAGCCTGTAAAATTGCTTGATAAGAAGTATATAGTTGTCAAACAGCATGCAAATTTTTGCAAACCCAGGTGTGGCCCTGGGGAGAATCTCACAGAATTGCCTCCTTTGGGGCTGGGGGGTGGGGGGTGGGGGGCCATAATCCATAATGGAATCAGCCTGGCAGTTTGAAGACCCAGAGCCCCCTCTAGTGGCTGAAGCTGGGTGTCTTTTACGGTTTTCTTTTTCTGTAACTAAACCTTGCCTCTGCACTGCTATTAGTTGCTGCCTTCCTGGCCACTTGCCGCCTGCACCTACCTATACAGGCTCTCTGGGCAGGCTCTCTGGGGGCAGAGATTTCAAAGTCTCAGGAAGGCATAGCCAGGGGCATCCTTGTTTAAACATCCTGTGAATAGAGTCTGCCCTGCTGAGCTGGGCTCAGAAACTTGCATTTAAAAAAAAAAAACACTATGAAACAGGATTTAGTCAATTAAATCTACCATTCTCTGGATGACATTCACCATATAGGTAAAAACTTAGGGATTGATGGCATCCGGCAAAATGTGGAATGCTGGCAGTGCTGACAGAAAAAAAAGCTTTGGAAACCAAAGCTTTTGTCACAGCTGTTGCCACGAAGATCCAGTTCATCTTTTAACCGATCCTCACTGCCAAGTATTTAAAAATTAAACATTACATTAAATCAGAAGCATAGCACAGGAATGCCAGTATCAAAGAAATTCGAGTAACAAAATAGTGGATTTCAGTGTCTCCAACACATGAATACTCTCACTCTTGTTAGCCTAGAATATGCCGGCTCCAGGGGAAGAAGACCTTTCCTGGTTACACTACATGGTAACTGATACATTCGAAGGTCAGGAAGGACTGAGTGTAGATACCTGCATTTTGAACAAGAGCCTTGGTTTCCCCTACAGAGCTCTCCAGTGCAGGGGTCTTCAGACCGGCACCAACAAACACAGTTAGTTACCGGAGTCTCAGGCAAAGCTCTGCCCTTGGGGGTCTATAGGTTTGAGGAGGGAGTTCCAAGTGCTGTTCTTGAACCTCTAGTGGATCAATTAGAAAATGAACAGTGGTTTTCAAGTGTGAAAGAGACATAGCGAGAGATTCTGTCACTCAGAACTCAGGTGGTTTTTGCAGGCATTTCCCTGATGATGGTGCCCCATGAGCAAGATCCTTACACTCCAGAAGAGCCAATCCCCATGTCCACAGACAGGCTGTGAGGGAAGGGCAGCATAGTCTCTGCTTCCAGGCGCCTCAAAGCAGCTGCAGCTGTCTCCAGAAGGATAGAGATGTTACCATTTCCCTGTGTCTTTAGAGATCGGAAGGCCTGTGATACCAGCTCTGATTTTAGAGTTGTAGCTACAAGGGTTCTGGACTTGGGGACTTCAGGCTTTTCTGTTTTGCCTTTGGGGATAGTGATTTTTGACGTGCTTCCTGGAAATCTGAGTTCTCATCAGGGTGGATTGGCGGGGAGGTGCTTCCAGGGCTGAGGATCTGTGGCTACATTCTTGGGAATATCACTCAAGTGTTGCTTCTGAGGAGCATGGGTCAGTTCAGCTGGTGTGTGGAATCTGTAGTCAGATCTGATTATTCTGGGCCCTATGACCAGCAGAGGGTGCTGGTCACATGGCTGAGGTAAGCTAACTCTGCTCCGGAGATGAAGCAGCTGTTCTGTTCACATATGATTTATTTCATTTTATGTGTATGAGTGTTTTGTCTGCGTGTATATATGTGTACTGCATGCATGCCTGGTGCCTTTATGGTTCAAAAGGAGGCATTGTGTCCCCTGTAACTAGAGTTACAGGTGTTTGTGACCCACCGTATAGTGCTATGAACTGAACTCAGGTCCTCTGAAAGAGCAACAAGTGTTCTTAGCTGCTGAATCGTTTCTCTGACTCAGCTGTGCTGTGCTTCCCAGTTCCTCTGAGGCTGCTTGGGCCTCTGGTCACTCTCTCATTAAGGTGCTAGGTAGGCTTGCACTGTTTGAATTGGTCTGAACTCCAAATATCTAGTCATTCCTACTTGTTTTGAAGCGTTTGCTCTGTGGGACACCATTCTAAATTAAACAGGAAATGGAATGAACGAAAGCTTTTTCTTGTGGTACCCATTACCTGAGAGACCGTCGTCGAAGGCAGGAAGTGTTGTCACGGTTATGCCCAGACAGGGTGCCCAGGGGATGGCTCATTGGTTAAGGAACACTGGAGCAGAGCCGCAAATAGACGCATGGACATCAGGGGAAGAATGTTCCAGATAAAAAGAATGTGAAGCCCTAAAAGCTATAAAAAGAGGGGACTTACTGTCACCACAGTGCTGCCGCCCCTTCTCCTGAGGCCCCGGGCTGTGGCATTCCTAGGCCTCCCTCACGCCCCGCCTGCATGCCTTCTCCCATCCCTGCTGCTCCTCATTCCTCTTCCCAGGCTTCAGGCTGATGATCCTCTTATGTTTTGGGTTAGTTTAGTTTTTTGGTTTGGTTTGTTTGTTTGAGACAGGGTCTCTCTGTGTTGTCCTGGAACTCGCTCTGTAGACCAAGCTAGCCTTGAACTCTGAGATCTACCTGTTTCTGCCTCCCGAGTGCTGGAATTGAAGGTGTTTGCCGCCAGTGCTCAGCTATGCTAATCCTCTTCATAGCTTGGCTTTCTCCCATAAGGCTTCTTTGGGCATTCACTACCCTGCTGACATACTTTATAAAAAGAAATAGTTTGGGTGGTTGGTTTAATTCTTCCACATTATCTGCATGGGTCTGAGGCACCTACCCTTAGCAGTTTCCTAGTTAAATGAACATGGAAGGAATGATGGGACACAAACGATTTTTCCCTCAAGCCTTTTTCTCTGTCAGAGTCATGGCAATGAACCCTGAGGGATATCTTCAGGCTGGCATCCAACCCTAAAAACTAAAGGGTCAGGTCCTGCCAAAGACCAGCTTCTTGGGGAAGGAGCTGGCAGGGCACAGGCTGTTGGTGCTCCTGTGCCTTTGGCACACTCCTGCCCCGTTTCTAGATCCAGAGATTGATATTGCTTATCTGCCTCCAAAATCCTACTGCCTCTGGGGAGGTACTGGGTATCTGCTTACTGGGCCAAAGCAAACAGAAAAAGCCACTGAGGGGAGGAAGTGGGAACTATGCATCCGCTGTTGCAGCAGCAGCAAGGGGCTCCAGGGTGGTAGAATTTAATGACTTTCACAGAGCGATACCAGACACAGACCTCAGCATCACCACAGAAGGCTGCTGGTTTCCTGTTCTACCTCCCCCTGGGCAGTCATATGCCTGAGTCTAGGGGACACCCAGAGGGAGGGGCTCAGGCAGTTCTGCAGGAGCTCCTGAGGTGTGAGGTCACTGTAGCCTCAGTGAGTCAATATCTAGTGGAGCACAGACAGCAGGCCTGGGTAGTGTGGCCTTCGAAAGGCAAGGGGTCTCACAAAAGGCTGAAGCCACCCTGCCTAGCCTAGCCTCTGCCCAGTGCCTCTCCTGCTACTACAACTCACAAGAGGCAGTGTCACCTTAATTAAATTCACAGTTGAAGTGATACAGAAGGTGGTGTGAGTGCCAGGGAGGTTGTCTTTATTGTATAAGGACGAATAGGCAGGAAGTAACACAGTGGCTTCCACCTGGGAAAAGCAGCCAGCAGGCGTTCTGAGGACATGGACTCTGCCTCTAGGGCCAGCCAGAGGTGTCAGGGCTGTATCACAGCTCCCTTCCCCAGAGTTCAGAGCAGGGTTCACTCATGAAAACTGCTGGCACCTTTTCCTAGGATTATGAAGGAGATAGAAAGGCTGGGAGGAGAGAAAGGGGCAGTCTAGAGAAAGACAGCCTTCCCAACCTCAGGGCCTACACTGTTCCATCCTCTCCCTGGGTCACCCCATAGCAGTGTGACCGCCTTGCCCATCAGGGCAGCTGGCCCTCCCCAGGGCCCTTCTATAACTCAGCTACCTGAGTGCCAGACAGACCTGAGACTGGACTGGAAGGCCAGGGTCTGGCTCTGACCAATCAGGAACAGGGCTACTTCTTGCTTCAGCTCTGCAGTAAGGCAAATAGTTCTGGCTCTCATCCTTGCTACCCCTATACCCTCCTGTGAGGATCCCTGTGAGTGCCTTTGATTTCTCTGAGCGCTTTAAGCTGCCTACAACATTTAGCTGCTAGTGACAGGAATCTTTAAGTCATTGGTGGCTGACTCTAGAGTCCCTGTCTTTTTTGGTCAGGAGACACAGATCACTTGATGTCTCCAGTCATGGGATCCTCCGATCATGGTGAGGCCACTGAAGCAAATAGTACCTTTGCTTTCCTGGGCTCCCTGTTGACCTGGAGTCCAGATAAACAGCAGAGAGGTATTAGCCCTGAACACCAAACCCATAGTGTGGCTCAAGGTTGGGATTATTACTAATACCCTTCATGTCTGTGCCCTGTCTCCACAGGTAAAGGAATAACCAAAGCCAGCAACTGTGTGATCTCCTGAGCTGCAGATATTGGTGGGCAGGACCTGCAGATGCCCACCCATCTGGTCCTGTGCTGAGGAGAACGTGGCCTCTTCCTGCACTAGGTCACACATCAGACCCTCAGCAGGCCTCCTACCCTGTAGCCTCCATTCCAGTCCTAGTGCCAGAATTCCAGACAGCAGGATCTGAATCTCATCTCAGCATCTAAACCATCGCATACCTGCAGCAGAACGTGGTGGTCTGACAAGGGATGCCGCTACCTTGTTTACATGAAGTAGAAGCCTGCCTAGAGTCTGCTTCCCTTGTTGCCAACCTGTCCTCCACTGGGCCAGCCCTCCCTACAGGTCCTTGGGTGGGACAAGGGCCATTCTTTCTGCCTTGGTAGAACAATGTCCAAAGCAGCCCAGCCACTTGGCCTTCTCCTTGGACATCTGGTGCTGTGTAATTTTCCATACTCCAGAGGTTGTTGGGAAAAAGAGAAGAAGGTGGGACTCTGAGCCAGTCTTGCTCCAGGTAGAAGATCCAGCTGGAACAGCTGGAATATTGGCCATTATGGCCTTACAAACACTCATTCCTGATAGCTCCTGAACTAGTCTCCTACTGGAATTGGGGTGGGGACACGAATTCTTCTGCCTCCCTCCAGCTAGTGGCAGGATCTGACAGTGCTGGTAAAGAGCCCCTTTCCTTCCTCCACTGTAGCCTGCCTGAGTGCCCTGGGGCTCCCTGGCTGGTGCTGGTGAAAACCAGAGCTTGCAGTGCCTTCCTCTGGGCCTGCTCCTTTCAGTAGGCTTTTGTTTACAGACCCTGTGAGGATGGGAGTGCAGGGGAGGAGCCTGGGCCCTGAGGACAAGAGCGTTTGGGTTCCTCCCAGCCTTCTTCACCCACTAGGGCTTCCTCCATGAAACTTCAGCCAAAGACTAACCTTAGCCTCTTTCAGAATTGCAGGCTGCTCTTAGAAGCCTGAGGTTCCCTAAAACAGGTTGGCTTAATTGCTAGGACAAGCAGCCACCTCCCCTTACAGTGACCTGTCCAGGCTGAGGGAGAGTCAGCATGACATAGAAGACATCATCTGACCCTAGACTCTGGACAACCCTCCTGAACAGGCAGAATGGCAGAGGGGCAGAGGGCCACACAGAAGACTTTCCAGGCCTCCAAACCAAGATCTTGTCCCCTTTCCTTTCTAAAAAGACCTTGGGTACCACTAGTACCGGCGAGGGACAAGGGCATCTGCAGAGGCAGCTGGTGAGAGACAGGGAGGGGGCACTGTGGACTACAGAAGTGGGCAATACGTGGCATCTTGTTCCTGTGTCTGGCCTCCCTGCTGGTGGGGAGGGAGAAGGAAAATAATGGATGGCCTCAGTCCAGAGTCCCCTCTGTCCACCCTGAGGTTAGCCCCACCATGGCTTCCCAAGCCTTTGTGAGGATTAAACACTTCTGGTAAGTGCTTCCTGTTACAATGCTGGCAGTGTAGTGTGTGCTTATTCTGGGGGAATGGCTGGGAAGCCTGGGTGACATGGGAAGTAGGCTCTTGGACCTCTACTGTGGTGGTTGCCTTGAAGATGTGGGAAAGATCTAGAGAGAATGTGTTGTATGGATGCGTCACCTGTCAATTAAAAACTCTACAGGAAATGGTAGAATAGGAGGTGGGACATCTGGGAGGCAGAAAGAATTCTGGGACAGAGCCAGGCACTGGAGATGCACCAGGAAAGATGAGATGGACACATGGTACCCGAGCATAGATAACTAGCCCCAGGGGAGAAGGTAGGTTAAAGTACCTGGGATAATTTATGACATAATAAGAGTAGAGTTTAGTTATATGGCCAAGGTATTTGCAAACATATTTTGAGTCTGAGTCTTATATCTGGGAGCATGGGGCTGAGAGGAAGAACCAGACTAAACATCTACAAATGACACCTCACATTGGGCACCTATTATAGATTAAAGATTATTAATAGTCTATATATATTAATGCTGGAAGTTGATAGGTGGCAATTATTCCTTAACCCCAAGGCTTTTCCAAATAGCCACACAGCAACCTTTTAATATTTCAAAGCCTTAGGCCTTAGCTGGACAGATTCTCAACTCGCTCATTCAAGTTAATCTGACCACCTAGCCCCATGCAGCCTTGTGGCTAGCTATACCTTCCAGGCCTGTGATCATGTCTGCCACCTCCCATGTCTCCTGGCTAAAGAGTTTCCTCCTTCCCAGGAAGTCCTACCTTCAACTTCCTGTCTAGCTAATTAGCCATTAGATTTTTATTAAAGCCAATCAAAGAATGTCTTGGGTGGGTGAGGAAGGACAGACAATTTCACACAGCATACCCCAACAGAAAGAAATTAGACTCCACATAGAGTAGTGGCCTGAGACTTAGAAAGAGATGCTTCTAAGCCATTCTGCTGAGGCCATCTTCTCTCTCCCCAGTGAGTGAGACTAGCCTCTTTCACCCTGTCCCTGGGTCAGTCCTCCTGGACAGGCAGCTAGAGGGAGAGTGTCCGTCCCTGCCACGCTGCATTTCTCTCACTGAGCCATATGCTTTAGTCATGAAACCTTCAAAGACCAGCTCAGGAATGAGTCCAAGTGAAGGCACATTGCTAGCCCCAAGCCCCACATCACAAACACTAGTGACCAGCACTGCAGAGTCTGTTTGGGGGAGGGACTGCTGTGTGCTGTAGGATGTGACCCAGGCTCACCTCCAACTGCCGCTCCTGTTCTCCTGAATACTGACTGGGGTTACAGGTGTGTGCCACCACACCCAGTTTACCTTGTGTAGCCTTGGCATGGTTCTGTGGCTCTGAGGTTGGCTGACTTGCCTGAGATTTTCCATCCTGGGACATCTTCCCCCTCTCTCCTAGTTACCTTGGCTAACACTTCACTACCTTGTTCTCCCCAGAACAGGTGTGTTTATGTGTGTACATCTGCCTTCCTTTAGCTTTGTCAGATTTCCTCCCAGTCTGTCCCCTTTTCTTCTGCCTCATCCATTGGAAGCACCGAGGGACATACTTTTGTGCGCCCAGGAATGCCCCCCCAAAAAAAGCCAGAGCCGACAGCAAGAGTGCCTTCAGAACTCAAGTGATGCAGGCCAGAAATTCCTGTCCAGCTGTTATGACCATAACCAGTAAACAGGACAAAGTTGTACCCTCTTCAGTTACTAAGCCCTGCCTGTGCCATGGCTGTGGTTTATCACCTGGCATTCCCTATGCTGAACTCCTCTTGCCTACAGGGCCCGGCAGCTGGCATGAATCACCTGTACTGATTTTCCAGAGGCACAGGATTTGCTTCAGAATGGCACCCTGAGTGGAGCCTGATCCAGGTGGAAAGAGCTAGAGGCAGTAGGTGCAAAGACGCAAGTGCTCACACAGGTGAAATAATTGCAGGGCAGACCCACTGGCCTCACAGATTTAGCCCCAGACTTCCACCCCTCCCACCCATGCTTCTGCCTGCCTTCCCAGCTGTGAAGCAGGGAAGGCACTGCTTCCAGAGAGCATGCTCTGTTGTCTGGCATGAGAGGTGCCTGTTCTTCCTTGGCCAGGCTCTGAGCACAAAGACCACATCTGTCTGGCTCAGTGCTATAACCATAGTATTCTCTCAATATCTGTTGGCTAAATGGTTGAAAATTGAACAGCGGGGCCGAGCAAGATTGGTCAGTGGGTAAAGTCATTTGCTGTTCAAACATGGTGACCTAGGTTCAGTCCCAGAACTAAGGGTAAAAAAGAACCAATTCCCAAAAGTTATTCTCTAATCTCCACATATACACGGTGGCATAAGACATCATTCACATATACATATCTGAGTCCTTTTACAGGGAAGCTTAGAAGGACCTTGAGATTGTCAGGTAATACAAAGTCCCTGTAAAGTCATGGCTGGAGTCCAGTCATGGGGACATTCTAGTTAGTGCACTGTCTCTCTGCTTTCCACAGCAGCCATCCGGACAGAAATTTTTATCCAGCAAAGTGGTTAGAAGTTATGGCAGTGTCTAAAGATACCCAAAAGTAGCTTCAGGAACAGGAGCCTGTGTCATAGGAGATGAGCTGGGACTTGCTTCCCAGCAAGCATGTGGGAGCCTGCAGGAAAAAAGCACAAAAGACAAGAACAGAAGGCATGCCCACAGCACCCATGGCTCTAAAGGGGGAAAATCCATTGTATGCCAAGAATCCTGCTTTATGGTTTAAATTTCTCCACTGGCAGCTTTGACTCCCTGGTGTGGCTCTTGGATATCACTTGGAGCTTAGGAGACTTCATGGGGAAAGGCAGCTCACTGCTTGTCTGCAGTGAATTGTTTAGTAAGTGGGTAGTTCCTCGGTGCCAGGCCTGGGGACACAGAATGACAGAGGAAGGCAATGTTTGAAAGCAGAGTGGCTGAAGCCAGGTGATGGTGGTGAACACCTTTAATCCCAGAGGGAGATCTCTGTTAGTTTGAAGCCAGCCTAGTCCACAGAGCAAATTCCAGGACAGCCAGAGCTACATAATGAGACCCTGTCTTGAAAAAAACAACAATAAAAAGAAAAAGAAAAGCACAGAATGGATGCATGCTGTTTGTGATAACTTTCTTGGGACATGAAGTAGAATAGATTGGCCTAGGCACTGAATGGCTAAGGACCCAGCAGGCCTACTTCTAGAATTTGGGTTTCCTTTTATGTCACATGGAGGGCACTCACCTGGGGCAAAGCATCCATCTATCATGAGAAGCTATAGGCTTGGAGCTTCCAGAGTATTTTCTGACAGATTCTCCTGTGCACATACCAACCCTGGCAATTAATCAAATTGATGGTTACTGGCTGGCACACTGAACTAAGTACTCATTTACCTGGAGGAAGTTTCAAGGCCTGGATTCTGAAAGTAGGAAAGAGAAAACCTGCCGAAGTCACTCAGTTGGACGGGGACCTGTGTTCCCATGTATATCATGCCTCCACCTCAGAAGGCAGCAAACGTAGAGGGTTTCCTGAAAATCTCACTTTTCTAGACTGATAGTTTTGGGTGAGATGGACAATTTTAGCTTCTTGTCTGGAGAGAATACTGTAAATACAAAAATACAAATAAAGCTTAAGCCAAAGCCAGGCTTCTGTACTGCGGAGAAGCCAGCCAACTTGGTGCCATACCAGCACCTTCTTCATACGGCATTCTTCCCCCCATAAACTTCAAACTCCCTCAGGTGTGTTCACCTATCTTCTCTGTCAGTGGCTGCCTGATTACCCTCACAGCTACTATACTGGGAGGAGCCTCCAGCCTGCCCCCGGGAGTCCTGAGTGTTGAGGCTCCTGAGGAGCTCAAGTGGGTAGAAGCATTGGTGGAGAATGGCTGACACCTTGTGGCCAGCTGGCAGCTTGCAACATCCCTGTCTAGCTCAGATGGCCAGGCTTGGTGTGGACAAGCTCTTTTTACAAAGGCTCAGAGAAGTCAATGCTCTCTGGGCTTCGAGCAAACCTGACGGTGCACAGTTCTAATCCCATCACTCCAGAGGCTGAAGCAGAGAGGACTGTTGCAAGTCTGCATACTGAGGCTGTGTTCCACAGTTTTAAAAAAGCTTTAGTCTTTGAGGCATGATGGCGCCTGTCCTGACCTCAGAGCGACACTGAAGCAGCCTCACGCTGTACATCAACACGTATGCATAGCTGAGTTTCTATAAAAACTTACGGGTACTGGAAATGTCCGCATGTACTTGTTGAGTATGACAGGACATATTAGTATTGTGATGCTTTTAGTCATTTAAAAATATGAAATCTCAGGGCCGGGGAGATGGCGCATAGGTTAAGAGCACTTGCTGCTCTTCCTGAAGAGCTAAGGTCGAGTTCCAGCACCACATCAGGCAACTCCCAGTCACCTGTAATGATGGGTCCAGGGGACCGGACCCTTTCTTCTGGCTGCTGCAGGCACATGCACACATATACACATATGTAATTAAAACCAAAACAAACAAGTTCTAAATAAAAATGTAAACGCTCAAGCTGAAGATATAAGATTCAGTTGCAGACTGTGAGCCTAGCGTTCTATGTAAGTCCCTGGTCCAATTCCTAGCACTACAGATCTATTTAAAATGGAAAAACCATTCTGCACTCATAGGCTGTATTGACAGGTGGCAGGCTGGATTGGGACAGCACACTCCACTCACCCAGGACACTCCATCACACCTGTGTTCCCACTGACTCTCAGTCATCGAGTTTGACATCTGTGTCATTGTTTTGTTCTGAGGAATCCCTACACCTCCTCCCAGAGGACACTCAGGAGCAATTGTTGATTTTCTTTCATTTCATATGTTATCAGATGTGCCCACTGGGTGCCCTGTCCTAAGGGGGCATGCAAGAGCCTAGAGATTTAATATTTACTTGTAGTTGTTTATTTATTTGTTAAAGACAAAACAACTTACTGAGAACTCATTGTATCTGAGGTACTATGTTATATATGGCCTATACCCCAAGGCCAGAGGGAGACAGATGTTATGACTGGGACACTGAAGGAATAT